TTTCTGAAGGCACTTTATAAAATGCAGTGGACTTAAAATACTATATAAAACGTGTTATGAACCTATTTCCAAGCCTGGCCAAACCGTTGGGATGCCAGCACACTGGGAGTTGCCTGCACTGCTTGCCTGTTGGCTGGGGTGTAGCCTGTATATCTCCTTGTGCATCTTACAGTAGCAATACCATTCTGGAATGATACATTGGATGAGGGTGGTTAGAACCAAACAAGTACTGTAAATGTGGAGATACATAATGCTGGGATTATGGAAGGATGGAGCCATTTGCCATGTAGTCTGATCTAGATTTTTGGTAGTGGGTAGGGGGAAGAAAGGCCATTGGGAAGGTAGTAATTCAGACATGAATGTGTGTGTGAGGTGGTCTGCTGAGGCAGGCACTGTGACAGAAACTGGCAGGGCATAACCACAACTCTGTACTGGAGATGGCACCATTGTGTCACGTTTGTATCATTGTCCCAGCTCCCTACAGAACACAAACAGTCCTCTCTGCAGCATGATAAACTTGGCTTTTCTTGCTGCAGGCTGTGCTGGGGACCTGAAGTTGATAAATCAGTGTAGTATCCTTGAGCTTGCCATCTGATTAATTGCTTGCCCTATGAGATCCTGGCATAAACCTGCCTTCAGGCAGTCACTATTGTGCATGGTTCAGTATCTTTCTGGATTCTTCCATCCCTAACCTACAACCCTGCATCAGGGAATGGCATGCTTCAAGCTGATGAAGGTAGCATTTCTCTCAAATTGTTGTGCAAGGTCCTTGCATGGCTTGAGATGGTGTAGTCTATGTGGAGTGGGGGTAGTGGAGCTCTTAATGAGGTTGAGAAGGCAGGCTGGAGGGATGAGTACCTGTACCAAGGCATTGTTCAGATTACAAACTGGGCATGGTACAGTGCTGTCTCCTTGTTTCTGAGCAGGTAACACATTTGTGATGGAGAACTGGTCGGCCAGCATGCCTGTGTGTGAGGTATGATTCTTGCATTGGATGGGGAGAGTCTAGCTTTGGTGTTTCCATCATTGCAGTGTTGAGAAACCTCCTGGGCCCTTGCACTTTGAGTTTCATATGATGGTAAACATCTACTGGCCTGTGGTAGGGCTGCCTTTTTGCTAAAAGCTGTACAAACCAGTTTAAACCATGGCAGCAGCTTGACGTGGTGTCCCTTAGTATTTTTTTATTAAGACTGAAAGTTCTGTCAACTTTGGATAGCTTTTAAGGCAAAAAAGGCCTGTGTTATGATTAGCCATATGTGGCCTCTAGCATGACAAGCCAAAGAAATGCACTCAATGTTAATTTTTGTACTGACGTATATAATCATCTATATTCTTCTGTGCTATGTTCTTTTTGTTCAGTTTGTGATGATTTTGATGTTATGCCATCCTCAGGATGGTTGATCTTTGGTTATTTCTTCTTGATTTGTCTCCTCCTACAGGAATCACAGCGAACATGAAATAAAACTAAAAAATAATAATAAATAAACTAGCCCTCAGTATGTGTAAGCATTTTCAAAATGTCTAAATTTAAGTAAAGACTTGATTTGCATACTGTTTGAAGTAAATGCGCTGGACCTGGCAATTGGGAGTTAGCAAAGCATTAGGGGACGCAGTCTTTCAAAAACAAAATCAAACTGTTTTATAGCAGCAATTAAATGTGATTTTATGATACAGTCTTATTAATTATGTCATTGCACTCTTCATATGAAAAAGCAGTGAAAGAAGAATAATACTCTCAACTAAATGAAGGAGAGAAAAGAGACATAATTTGGAAAGAGATGTTGTACAAACATGGATAAAAATCACTTTTGCAAGATGTTTTCTCTATTATTTGGTGGCTCATGTGGCCTAAGTGGTTGAAAAATTGTCCAAAATCAATTATGCCTATTACATAATAGTACCACACCCAGTATAACCAGCTTTAATGAATAAACAGTGACTCAGAAATTGTAGACATAGTTTGAAGATGTAATATCTTAGGGTGGGATTCACTTTGTCTTACTCAGAATCTTAAAAGTCAGGGCACTCTGAGCCAGCCTATATATTTCCTTTTTTTTTTTTTTTTTTTTTTTTTAATGGTATCTGTAGGCTATAATAGCTACAACTGAGCTTGATGCCCTGCACTGGATATGAGCCAGATTGAAGTCCAAGCTGAGAAAAGTTCTCAGTCTCTGTATAAAAGCAGGTGTTAAAATGGAGTACTTATTTTTGTGACACCAACAAATTCAACATGTTGTGCAACTTGGAAAATGTTTCGGTTTCAAGCACAAGTGTTAAATTGTTCTTTGAGAATATCTTTTAATTACTTAATTATTAGTTATCCTTTTAAAGTCAATATTAATGAAGCCTAACTTGGCAGTGCCAACGCTTTTATTTTAATATCAACAAACCGCATAGTCGTCAAAATGTGTGGGTCACAAGATTGGTCTGACGGCTCCGTCCTGTACATCAAATCAGTGTTGATTGCTGCAGTGGCTGCACAAATAACTTAGTCAGAATGCTTCCAGTGTAGCATCTTCTAATGTAATTTTAAGAGGTCTGCAAGTCTAATAGAGGTATTTACAATGTTGTACTCAAATTGGACTCTCTTGTTGTTCAAGGATGGCTTCTAGTTACCTGAGGTCATGTGCCTGGAGACTTTGTGATAGTCAAATGTTCCACACACTATTTTGGAGACTGAGGTGTTGGGTTTTTCTTGTGGAAAAGACCACAAGATGCCCCATGAGGACATGATTATGCACTGCAGCATGACACTCTTGTGTTCTTCTGGAGGGGCTATGCCAAAGTTTAACTTGTCTTCAGTGGCACATGCTCCTTGACTTATCAGGAGTAATTTTTAAGTTAGCTATATGCTGCAATTTCAGGAGTCTGTTTTTGTTTGTTGTTTTGGTTTTTTTAAGGGAGTTTCAGCTCAAAGGTTTTTTGTGGATATAGAAGACATTGCAGGTTTGGGATGGGCTGAACTCTAGTTGAAGGAAACACCTTGTCATCTATTGCATGAATGACTTACCAGCAAACTCCCTATAAACCCAAACATTTGGACTGTGTAGTCCTGTAGATGTCAGTGACGACTCCAAAATGAGAACAACTTCTGGACTCTAAGAGTAGATTGGAGTTTGAAACATAACCATAGAGCTAGACCCCAGTGCTTTATATATGGTACAGTTCTGCTGTACGTCATGCAAACATAAAATGTCTAACTTGTGGAATGAGGGGCGTAACTTATAACTCATATTCCCTATTACCTAGGAAACATAAATATTTATATTTAAACTTCCAGTGCTGTTTTGTTACATTGACTAGTTTCCTCAAAAATATTATCACTGAATATACAAAATTGGAAGCAAAGTATCGTATTATATTTGAGATAAGGGTAATTTTCAGATTCTGTGGGTTTAAGTGATTATTGAAAATATTGCTATGATACAACCTCTACTTTTCTGTAAGAACAGACTGTTGTTACAAGAATATTTTATAAAATGCAGTTCTCCCAGGGGAATCACTATCATCCTTTGTTGTTGAAAGTTGGTGTGTGTGTGTTTTTCTTCTTTCCCAGAATTTTGGGATTTTTCTTACCTTGAATTGGTGTGTCATCATTCATCCTCTGTCATTATTTATTAAATCCTACAAAAACAACCCTAAACCCAAAAGAAGATTTTTGTACCATTTAATTTTGTCCTCAGTAGGGAGGGTGAACTTGCAGCATTTGAACGAAAAAACTCCTATGTTAAAACTAATTACTTAAATTTTAGGATTTCTGGTGTTTGCATACCCTTATTTTGCTATTTAGAAAAAAATAGGGTGATAATGTAACAGACCATAAAAGAACTACATCCTCTCCTTTGCTCTTTTTACCAAGCCCAGCTCATTTGCTTCACTACTAATTTCCTTAATTACTGTGGTAACCAGTAGCTTTGCTCTGGGTGCACACAGGTTCCACTGCACGTTTAATTGTGTGCCTGTGGTCCTGCACAGTATTGAGGACAGTCAGGGTTAGCATTCATAAGGGAGGCTCATAATTAGCTGGTGACTGAACCTGGTGACCTCTAAGCTCAAATAAATACCCTTCCTAGTGTTTTATTTCTGTACTCGACCTGGAATAAAACCTCTCTGTTGGACTGTTTGCAGAATATTGTCTCTGTTTCTGACTTGCATGTGGGTTTTTAATCCTGAGCATTTAGAAGAAATCTGCCAAATTTGATTTCTTCAAGGAATGTGGGCAGAGGGAGGATCTAGTAGTGACTTCAAGTGAGTATAGACTTGAGCAAGGGCTATGTTGATGATTGTTATAGAAGAGAGAGTTTTTTTTTTTTTTTTTTTAACTCTGCTGAAAACATGTGGGCAGTGCTTTGCTTTTGGCATTGAATATCTTAAGTCTTTTATAAAATATTGTTCTTGTTCACTGCTTTTTCACTCTTAATATAAAAAGTAGTCTCATTAATACAGTCTTACCACTTGCCAAGCAGTGGGAATTGATGTGCACGTGGTAATGCAGACTTGATGGAGTGGTTCTTTAGTCACACTGCCTTAGGTGCGAGTGGCGTGAAAAAAAACCATGAAAATACTGTGTGCCAGATATCATGAGTATACACGCTGTAACATGAAGCAGGAGATAAAAGACTTTCTCTTTCTTTTGCGCTTGTGTTTGAAATTTGTTTTATGCTTTTCAGTGTAACTGGTACTGCTTTAGAAAATAATAAGTATTTCCACAGAATGTAGCTGAAGATGAATTTACGCTAGAGGAAACTACTTTAAGATGTTGGATCTGACTTCTTTTGAGGCATAAAGAACGGGCTTTTAAATACTTATTTCTTTTGAAATTAATGTAAGAAAATAATAGTATGAACTAAGTGCTGAATCAGTATTTGTTGGTTTATTGTTTTATTTTGTTTGGGTTTTTTTTGGTTTGGTTTGGGTTTTTTTCAGTACTTCTTAGATGGTCTTGCTAGTTCTGACTTTGTGCACTGTGTCCCATTAACTCTCAATTCTTTCTCTCATAGGCAGTTACTGGGAAAAGCTTTGGAACCAAAGACTTTCGAGCAGCTCTAGAAAATGGAGTCCTGTTGTGCGAGTGAGTATTGACTTGCCTATATAAAAATCCTTCAGGTAAACATCAGCTGGCCTCTTTCCTTCCTGGCCTCTGACATTTTTTTTGAAGTACTGAAAGTATTTTGTGTTAAGTAATTTTTCAGGTTTTTTAATATCTGTTGTTTGTCATGGGAAGTAAAAACAGCTTTTGGAGACTCTCTTTCTAGATCTACATATGTTGTCCCACACACCTGTTTGTGTGATACTGAGAGGATCGTGCTGATCCTCTGGCCAGATGATTAATCTTTATTGGGTATAACATCTGTGATATCTCTGGGTTTGCTCTTCAGCTTGTGCAAGGTGGTGTGGCCATGGCTGGCATCAAAGCACTTGGTTATCCCTATACCCACTGTAGTTGGGGTTTGGTTTTCTGTCCTCCGTCCCCAGACCCTGAGTGTTGGTACTGTAAATCTTGAAAGCTACCTATGCCTACCAGAAAACTTTACACTAAGTTTTATTTCTAAAAATACTATACTTCAGAAGTGAACTTCACAAAATTGTAAATTGAAGATAACAGGCATTTGCTTTCATGTGCCTATTACTTATTGCTTTCATGGTTGCATCCAGCTATCTCAATAATATGGAATCTGTTGAATGAAATTTGTCCTCCTTTATAAAAATATACTTAAAAAACCCCCCAGTAATCCTATAGGGTGATAAAAATAGGCTGGATCTCCAGCATAATGTAGAAATATGTTGTTGTATATGTGCACGTGCAGTCCAGATTTCAGTACTTTATGGACTTTTTTAAACAGCAAACTCTGACCTTGGCTTGTTTTGGAGTACTTTGTATAAGAAGCTTCCTTGTGCTTATATATTGTAGGCTTGGCAGTAATGAGACTTGTCTGGTTTCGTTGCTAGACTGAGTCAGAGGTGTAAAATGTCCACTCGTCAGGTCTCATCCACATATCTGTAATTGGTTTTGTACTTACTGGAGCAAGTTTCCAGGACTGGAAGTGGTGCTAATCCCTTAGTATTTTAAGGAACAGCAGGTGTAAATGTCATTAGAATACCAGTGCAAGAGAAATCTCGTTAGAGAGCTACCTGGGATGCTAGGAAAAAATACCACAAATCTCAGAGCCACTCTAAAATCAGTTCAACCAAACTAACTTTCAGAAAATATTTACAAAGGTTTAGTTCTCTGAGCTTTTCTTCCCATATATAATTTTTTCCTTCTGTGAATGTTACTGTGTTTTCTGTCTCTGCCTTTATTTTTCTTTGGGCGCTTTGCCCATCCAGGCATGTCTTGCAAGTTGGTTATCTTGTGATATGGAGAGTTAATTAATTTTCAATAATATTGTAGAGGTGGATGCTGTATTTTTGTTACTTACATAATTAAATGTTAATGAGTGTGCATGTGGTAATAAAAATAGTTAATCCTTTTAATAAGAAGATATTTCTTCAGGTATGTGTTTAGTGGGATTTGTATATTGTATTCAGATGTAACTTTAAAATAGTGTGTCTAAGAATTGGAAGTTAACTGATACATCCTAATCCTTTGATATTTTCATTGTTGGCAGTTATTTGGCAAAAGAATGTGAGCCTCCATCTGCCAAAAGCAAATCAGTTGAATTTATCCGTAATTATTAGTAGTGCAAGAAAAACATCCTGTAATTTCTTTGGCTGAGCAGCTTGCCTTAGGAGGCACACAACTTTCTTTAAAGCAAGATGCTTCATTATGATTCTACTAAGTAATATAGTTATTCTCCAGTTAAATTCTCCTGATAATTTTAAATTTGACATACTTGAAGTACAAAGAAGAGTGACTTTCTGTGGAAACAGAAAAGAGCAGATGGCAAAAGCTTTCAGATGTCCAATTTTCACTAAAGACAATATAAAGCAAGATCTTAAATAATTGAGACAAACTAGGAATTACATTGCCTATTGCCTTAGTTCACCTGTGGCATGGCTAATTTAGTGCCCATGGATATATTATCTCTGGAGATTATATCTTTGACTTAAACTATAGCAGATAAGACCTACACTTGCACTACATATCCCTATAGCAGTCCAATTGGTTTCTTTGGCCTAATCAATGACCAAGTGCAGATGCTGACAAAATAAAGTCTTTTACATTTTACTAGGTCTCATATGCATACATTAGAGGAAGAAATTCACTGAAGTTTTTCTGATCACATGCTACTTCATGTTCTTCAGTAAAATAAGTAAAAATTATATATTTGGATGATTAAAAAATAAAAAAAGGGAAGGAAGTCAAACTTTTTTTTATTCCATCCCAACAGATCACTTTTTTTTTTTTTTTTTTTTTTTAAAGTGGTCAAGTGTATTTTGTTTTCTGAATAACTTAGTGTGATTGAAAAGTCTCAGGACTTGCAGACCTCTTTTTTTTTTTTTTTTTTTTCTACAGGCACTTAAGAAATGTATCCTCCATGTGTATGGGTAAACTGTTCTTTGTGTTATTTTCCAATCACATTGGCTGCTTGAGATAAAAAATACTTTTTCCCCACATAAAGTTTTAAACTGCAGGTCTTGTCTCAGCATTGGTGTGGGTAGATCACAAAACCTTGCTGATGCTTTGTGCTGGGTAAAGGATCTGGCCAGACAAGCAGGGACAAGAGGGAGCAAGTCAAAAATCCTCAAAGGCAGATAAAGTCTGCAGGGTGTCCTGAGGTCTCCAGTCTCTACTGACCCTGTGGTCTCTTAGTTTGGTGAACCACAACACTTCCCTATCTCTGTGACTGAAAACCCGGATGAAAAGGTGCAAGAAATCGTGTACCTCATCCTCACTGCAGGGCAAAGTATGCATTTGAGCTTGTGTATTCAACACTGGTGTGTTAGTCTGTCCTATCTTCTCAGTTTAATTATGAATTTTATATAAAGAGTGATATCAGCTGCAATTGCTTCTGACTGAGACTGAAAATTACTTGTGCGTGTAAATTATATGTGACAAAAGTGATTGTTGCACACAGCATATTGCACTTGGGAGCATTAGGAAAACTGAGTTTATTTCTCACCCTCACAGGAATATTAGTGCTTTCACTCTGAACTCTGAAAAGCAGCGTTCTGATACATTTTTGACATATGCGTCAGAACCTTTATGTGAAGAAAATCTTTAAATAGGAAATTTGAGTCTGATTAACATCACCACCCATGTAGTAGAAACATAGATCCATTTCTGCCTACGCCTATCCAGGCATCTTCTTTTCTTCTTTCTCAGTTTGCCATTCTCAGAAATCACTTTGTGTGTGCGTGTGGGACTTGTCTCATTTTTGCTTCTACAGTCTGTTGCTTGTCACTTTTTAGGAGTGTTAATAGATTCAGATCTAATTCATTCAAATCATATTAAGTTAGGACCATATGAAAAGTATTTCTTACTAAGCGTTGATGCTCACGCATCATCAAGTACAGTTGATTATGTAACATAAAATAATTTACTTTTTATTTTTAGTTTGATTAACAAGATCAAGCCCGGCATCATTAAAAAGATAAATCGTCTGTCAACTCCAATTGCTGGCTTGGTAAGTAATGACATCAAATCTTATATCTGGGGTATGACATCAAGTGCTCTTTGTTTTGTAAGGAGCACTCTTGCTTACTGTTCTTATGTGGTCTTGAGATAAAAACCTACAAAAGTTTTCAAAATTAGCTCCATTTTCTTTTTTTTGTTTTGTTTTGTTTTGGTGAAAATTGTACCATTTATATGTTGTCATAAATCACAAAGGTTACCTAATCTGTGATTCAGATCTGTAAATTCAATCATCCTGTCACTGTGTGAAGCTTCATCAGCCCTAGATGTATCAAGCACTGGCTTCTGTGCACAAACCTCTGTACCATTACTTGTCTCTATTTAAAGGCCACCATCCTATCTTATATTCACAAGCCATCAGATGTCCCCTCCTTTGGGAATGGGCAGAATAGGAAATGTTCTGTGTAGTTAGAGTATTTTTAGAACCTGTTTCACTCCACCCACAGCGAAGCTTTAGTTGCATTAAAATAACTCTGATGCAAAGATCTCTCTTCAGGCTTCAGTTGAGGTATTTGCCAATGTTTTGGATGTAAATCGGAGCCCCTGCTGGTCTAGTGGTAAAGACGCTGCGCTATCACCGTGGAGACCCGGGTTCGATTCCCGGTCAGGGCCACTCCCGGGCAGGTGGGGCTCGTTAGCCCTTAAAGGCAACCCACCTACGTCCTAAGGACCTCGCTGCCACCGTCCAAGCTCGCTTGGCCCCGGCAGATGAACCTTAGGATTAAAGGGTGGGTTCAGTTCCGCGCACACTGTGTCTCACCTAAAAAATCCAATGCGCAGGCTGGAAGGTGTAAAGACCTTCCCCGGATCTTCGCTCGCGAAGACTGGCCATTATTAGGATGTAAATCACATTTTTTTGGGGGAGGGGGAGTAGGGGAAAGATGTATATAGGCATTTTCACAGGAAGTTTAAAAGATTTTCTCTTTGCTGTTCAGAAAATTTGCTACCCAGGGACTTTAGGATAGGTTTTGCAGCCATTTAGCATCAGAAACCCTTTCGTGGGTAGGCAAATTCTTTCTTCATAATTTTTTTTCACTATGAAAACCTTGTTGGATATTCATGTCACAAGGGTGTCTAGAGTATTTAGTCCTGTCACAAGAACTATTGGTCCCATATTAAGAGGTCTGAAGTGAACAGGGACATATGCTTGATTCCTGTAACAAATTGAAGATTCCACCATATGATGAACATGCAATCTCAATGTTTCCTGATTTCTTAGTAGGAATAGCATGTAAAACTTCTCTAGCTACTTTTATTTATATGTTTTTACTTGATGAGCCAACAAAACATTGGCTTTTGCTGGTCAACCATGCAGCTCATTGGAGAATAAGTGTATTTAACTTGGCTGGAGGGTATAAGCTTAGGTTAAATTGCCATATATTATTGCACAAGCTGAGAATGTGCATTTCCACATCAAATGAATGTAGACAGTATTAGTTGCCTTTGTCCCAGAAAAAGCTCAGGTATTAGGCTTGCAATTAAGACTACTGCATATTCTTTTCTTGTGAGGCATACAAAAAGAATTCAAATGAAACCAAAATAATTCTGTGGAGGACAGCACAGTTATTTGATCAGCAGTTTGACTGCCTAAATGGCTTCTGAAGTAGCCATTAGATTCAAAGCAGAAAACCATAGGCTAGATTTTATTTCTGTGGTGATTTAACTGTTGTCTTGAGTCATAATTGTAAGAACTTGTTTTATATACATGTATTTTTGTTTATTTCCAGATGCAAAAATGTGGAGTATTCATTTGGTGTGTAGTTTATATCTTACTTGTAGTGTATTTATTGTTTCAAGTACTTTCTAGTTACTACAAGTCTTCAAAAATAAAGCAAAGGGGAGGAAAGGTGAATGATTCTTGTAAATCAAGATCATCCAGTGTTATTGTTGTTGAAATTCAACTTAAAGCTAATAATTGAGAGAGCTAATATTTTGTGTTGACCTGTAGAAAAGGTTTTACATAAATATTTCAGTTTCAGGACATGATGATTATGAGGGCCATATTAGGGTGGTTTCACAAGATGGTGCTTATGGGGACAATAGTGGGAGTTTGGTTTTCCCAGGCTGGAGAGGAACCTCCTCAGTTATACAAGTTTTGAAGAATACAGCTTTCACACTGGCATATAAAACTCAAACTAAAAATTATGGAGGTTTTCAGTTGTAAAAAAGCAGACATTGATACTTGACAGGCTCAGGATACTGTGATTAATGAACCATAGGATTTAGAGATGGGAAGAGCTTGCTAGGGAATCAGCCTGTAGGCTTGCTTACCATATTCTGGAAATATTTTCATTGTTTGTAGGTTGCTTCTCCTGCAAATCTTTTTTTTTTTTTTTTTTTTTTTTTAAATCCAGTTGGAAACTTTAACATCAAGAGACAGCAGGGTTTTTTTTGTAAACCATAAAGAGATGCTGTAACTTTTAATTTGGGTCCTGCAAATACTGTAATCTGAATATCTTCTGATCATGTGCTTTCTACAGCTTTCTTCATGGTCCTCTAGACTCATGTCCTGCAGTCTATTTCCAAAATATTTTATGCATTAATCACCAGGCAATTAGCATCCATTTCTCTCTTGACTTTCCTGATTAAAAGGAAATAGACCCCCTGTGTTCTTGACAGTTTTGTGGCAGTCTGATTATCAGAAGGAAACAAATGCTTTGAAAGACATCTTGTTTCTCTTCCCCCTTCTCCCCCCCCATCCCCTTTTGTTTTTCTTTCCTAGGAATTTCTTCAGTTTTGGTTTTGTTCCCTAGGGAGTTAATATATTTTACTTCTCTGTAAGTATGTCATTTAAGCATTGTGTTCACTTCAACTGCTTGACAGGTTTTTTTCAGCAATACAGAAATACAGTATTGAATAGATGTCTTTGGTTGAATCTCCAGAAGGATTTCATTATATTGTTTATTTGATTTCATGGTTATTTTGAAAACAAATTGTTTGAGTTAAATTTTAAGTGAAAACCTATAGGAATAATGAAACATTCACTTTTATATGGAATATTGTGTGCTATACTTTTTTTTTTATTAAGTTAGGATGAGGTGCTGCTTTTAATGAAGTAAATGCATTATTGATTTTTTATGTCATGTTTACTCTTATGACACCTTTCTTACCATAAAATCCAATAGAGGCTTTATGTTAGCAGGATTGCCTCAATTCCAAGCACCTTTTAGAAAACTGAAAGTCTTAGCTTTCATCTCTAGTTTGATTATACTGCTGCCTAGAGATTTTTCAGGTGTGAATTGCAGTGGTTCAGATGCAATCATGATGGAATAGAAAAATAAATACATGTGTTTTGATGATTAACTACTCAAATGAAACTTGGCATTCAGTTAGCAAAAAATACTTAATTGGTACCAGGAAAGTTTAAAAAATTGATTAAACTTCTGCCCAGTTTGATATGACATGGGAAATCTGAGCTGTAGCTTGTGTGTGAAGGTTTGTAAGAACGCTTTGGGAAGGAGAGTTGGATCTGACCACAACTTCATACCCAGCTAGCAACTTGTTGCTCCATTCCCTTCTGAGGCGTGTGCCTCGCATGCTTTGGGTCAGATCCAGCCATCATCTTAGCCGTGTTTACCTATTCATTTTTGTTCCAGTTTGGAAAATTGAACTGCTGAGGGTAAGAGCAGTTGCAGGGAAGTGGTGGTCAAAGGTGGGTGACTGAAGAAATGTCCATGCATCTCTTATGGTGGTTTCCTGGACAGTGAGATGTGCCAACTGCAGGGTACAAAGGAGTAACTCCAGCAGTTAGAAAGTAGTAGAAAGTACCCCTTACAGCAGGTTGATGTTTAACAGCATATGGCAGATTTTGGAGACAATGCTGTTCCCATAGGTGTCCTGAAGGGATTTAATTGGGAGGTCACTGTTGGTTTGTTTGCTTTAATTTTGGTCCTTTTCTTAAAAATGCCATTGCACGACAATAGTTGCTGGAAAATTAAAATTTATTTTCTGATTATGTTTCAAACTGTCTAAAATACACAACTTGTGTAAGGAGCAATACATATATTTTCCCTAGTACAGCAGAGACAAGCAAACTGGTACAGAGTAGCAGTTCCTCAAGCCCTCAGGCATTTCTAGGGAATATGGGAAGGGTAACAGAAAGGTCAGAGGACTGTGGAAGCTGAGATTTCATTATGAGTGGTAGAGAAAGTGCAGTCTGCACTTTCTTACTTAAAAATCCACTTTTCCTGGTCCATACATGTGTGCAATCGAAATTTTTAAAGAAAATTAGTCAAATTGATAGATCTTTCTGTGCTCAGATCCTGCAAAATGATTTTACTTAGAGTTGTTGGGGAGTAGGGGTCATGAGAATGAAATGAATGCTTAACCAAAGCAAACCCAAAGGAAAACTGTTTTCTCAAAATATACTGAGTTTTCAATTTGAATCCCAACATGTAAGATTGTTTGTATACAATCCCATGAGGAGGAGGACTTTGTGGTTTGACAACATGCTTTCCAACAAGGTTCTGCTGAGCATTTTCAGAGGTGCATCTCTGGCTGCAGGGTCATTGTTCCCCAGAAGCCTCCTGTTTTGAACTCAGTTGGCTGAACACAGGGAATCATAAACTAGAATGAAAGTCACAAGACGTCATGAGACAGTGAGAAGATGAGTTATGTATAGTTTATGCAAGCTCAACATATCTGTCAGAATAACACATTGCTCATTATTCATGAGGAATAAGTGTACGTTCTTCAGCGAGGCAGTTCTAGTTAAAGTACATTTCCAACTGAGACTGGGTGGTGAAGCAAAGTCAGAGGTAAGAGTCAGTATGTCTTTTGGAGAGGGGTAGCGAGTGGAAATCTCGCTGCCTTGCAGATTACCACCAATTTGGTCTTCCACGACCATCTATCTTTTGCTTGCAGCTCCTGTGAGTAAGGTGAAAGTGCAACGCTTTGCACTGTGGCTGGGAAGCCTTTCCTCACATCAGAGACATGAGGGCTGTGATCATAAGACAGGGCAGAATAGAAAGCTGTTGGATTCTCAGAATTGTA